CAGCTTGCTGAAAGCTGGAACCCCTCTGGGAGGTTTTGGGCTTTGGCCGGAGCCCCTGAGCCGCCCCGGGGCCGGGAGGCTGCCGCTGGCCCGGGCTCAGCGGGGGCGGCTGGGACGGTCACTGCTGCCTGGCACGGTCACTGGGACGGTCACTGCTGAGCTGGGACGGTCACTGCTGGGCTGGGACGGTCACTGCTGGGCTGGGACGGTCACTGCGGGCTGGGACGGTCACTGTCGGTTCGGACGGTCACTGCTGCCTGGGACGGTCACTGCGGGCTGCATCCGCTGTCCCCGCGGCTGTGTGAGGGCAGAGCGGAGCCACCGCAGCTCCGCTCCCAGCAGACAGCAGCGGCATGGCGCTCCGGGGAGCCTGCCTCCTCCTCTGCCTCCTCTCCCTCGCCCACGTCTCCGGCCAGCAGAACGGCAAAGTCCGGCCGAAACCGGCGGCTTCCAAGAAAGGTAAGGGGCAGSGGCAGCTTCCCTGCAAGGAAGGCTGGCAGGGCTTGGGGGGGTTGTAATCAGCMCACTCTTCTGGGCATTTAGCAGTGCTTTAGTGAAACTTCAAAAAAAAAAGCATCTAAAAACTTAATATTTCCCCCACCCAGTGGGAATGATTGTGTAGCTCTTCTGGAAAATAGTGAGGGTATTGGAACAGTTTTGGTAGCTTCCTACCTTGGATAAATTTGTTGGGGCAGCTTGGTCTGAATTTTCAGAGGGAATTAGTTTTACATGTTCCCTCTAAGGTTCATCCCAAGCTTTTCTTCTACTAAACTCTCCCTTTGTATAATCCCCCCCACCCCGTCTCATTCATTTTTCAGTAGCAAGTAAGTGGCAGATTACAGACAATTTTGGAGACTAGAGCAGGCAGAAAATACAGAAACCATTAAGCATCAACAGGGTTTTCATTTAAAAAAAAAAACAAAAAAAAAACCACTGGCCACGGGTGTATTTCACACACTGCATGAGCTCTGACTACTCAGGCTTGCCAGACAGCAGCGCACACAAAAAGGTGCCTGGGCTTTCTATTCCCTAGTGGTTTTGTTTTTCCTTCTCTTCTGTTTTCCTCCAGTCCCATCGTTTCTCCCTCCGACTCAGTGCACATTAAGTATAGGAGAAGGCAGGTGAGGTAAGGAAGCACTGAGCCTGCCTGCCTGATGTGTCCGTCCAGTCGTATGGGCTTGGACCGCTTCTGGCAGGCATTTCCCTGCTTGGAATGAAATGGGGAGCAAGGAAGAAGCATCCCTGGAATTCACTTGGCTAGGCTGCTCTCTACACTCACCCAGCTATTTTTGTCAGATTCCATCCTTGAGACATTTTTGCCTTTTCTCCCATTAGATCTTTCTATGAATTCACAACACAGCTGCATTTTCCACTTCTTAATCTACAGGACTTGGAATAACRGAGAAAACAGGCTGTGACTGTTTTCTAGAGCACAAAATACCCCTTTGGGCTCATATGGGGCACATACATGCATTGCACTCACTGGAGRTACCAGGAGAGAAACATTTCTTAGGGAAATCCTATTTATCTCAAGGTGTCATTGCAGCAGCTGCTCCCRCAAGAAGGTGGGAGAAAAGTCACCTTTTTGACAGGAAAAATTGGTTCTGATTTTAAAACTTTTGAGGGGATGTCCTGAAAATCAAGTCATCYGGACCAGCTGGTGGCAGGTTTTACTCAGAATTTCTTTTTAAAGGAGAGGTCATATTTGCTGTGGAGAAAAGGGAAAAAYCCAGGAACTTGGCATTTTTTGACCAGTCACATCCAACCCCACAGGGGCTCAGCTGCCCTGCCTTTACTGAAAACTTCCAGCATTTCTTGGTTAATGTATTTCAGATTTTTACCAGTGCCAGGGGCTGGGGAAAGAAGGAGGAAAGCATTAAAACCGCGCCACGAGGCTCCTCTTTGCCTCCAGCCACTCTCCACATCCAAGCCTGCCTGCCCAGCCACCCCAGGGGTCAGGCTCAACCCTTTCTCTGAACAATGGCCAGATGGTCCCATCCCGTTCTCATCCAGGCCTCCAGTACCCCCATCCTGATTCAACCCCTACACTTTGACACTTTGCCTGGGAGAGTCAGGACAAACCTACTGGCGAGTTGGGGTGTTTGGCTGGATTTATTTTTTTTAATCTAGGCAGCCAAACCACAAATGTTAGAAAAGAAAGCATTGATTTGAGCCAAGCTTTTTATATTTCTTTTTGGTTTTCTTTTTTTTTTTTGTTTTTAATTATTGCTTACATTTGGATCTGCTTCAGAATGAAAAATGATGCTATTTCAACATGAAAATGCCAAACCACAGTGTTTAGAAAATGCTGAGACAGCACMTTCACTTTGCCTGCTGTTGTGTTTTTCCCCCTCAAATTACTCCCCACTTACTGTCCCAAATGCAGTAGCTCAGCAGAGGGGTAGAGATGGGATTTGCCCTCGTCTGGCAGCTCAGGAGGTCTCATCCAAAAGAATTCCCAGGGGAGGCAGGCGCTGGCATTCCTGTCTGGGAACTGTTGGCACCCCTTGGCTTGGGGGTGCAGGTGTCAGTCCTGGCGGTTCCCCTTGGTCACAGCCATGGCAGGGTGTTGGGATCATGGAAGGGAGCATCTTTGCATACCTCTCACATGTATTTCTAAGGTAACTGGAGGCAGAAATTGAAGTCTGGATGCTTAAATCAGTGGATAGGGACTAATAYGGGCTTCACACCTAATGCCACCTACTGCCCAAAATTTTGGTGTACTCTTGTCAGGGTGCTCTTTCTGAAAATGCCTGCCAACACATCCCTAGAAATCCAGTGTGGTGTGTTCAGTCCGCTCCTTTGATCCAGGGACAGGCAGCAAAATGGGATCTGACTGTTCCGTTTGGTGCATTCAKGGAAATGTCTGGTGTCAGAAGAAATACTGATGGCCAGAGAGGTTTGCTGACAGACGTTGTGAATCAGAGCAATGCTCACTCCTCTGGGGGACAGAAGGCTGTTTGGATCTCCAGGCAAAGCTGAACAACCCATATATATATATATATATATATATATATATAGAGAGAGAGAGAGAGAGAGAGAGAGAGATTTAGATACATATACACATATATATGTCTCCAAATTTTATATAGGAATAGTTAAAACATTAAAATTAAGTACAGAGGGATTTGTTTGTTATTCAGCATGTAATTAGAATGGATGAGAATTCCCACTCTCACTAAATACATTTCTGGCCAGGCTTTCAAACCAACAGACTATTGCGACCYACATCCTTCTCTGAGTCTCCTTTTGATCTTGCCTCTGCCCASACTTAATCCTTCTGCTCATGGTCAGCTGCACAAGGACCTGMTCCAGTTCCCATGGGAGCATTGGCAACCCGCATGCGAGCTTCCATGACAGAAAACCCAAACTGTAAACAGGCTTGATCCCAGGCTTCAGGAGGTGAGCCTTGAGGAAATGGCAGCACCGAGACAAAAACCCCGTGCAATAAAATGGAAAACACAATGTTGATGTAGCAATGATTTTCACTTTAAAGCCGAAGGGCAAGTTAACCATCCATGGGTCTCCATGAGACATCCCAGTGAATGCACTGCTGCAGGAACATTTTGTAGCTCAGAATTTGGAAATGAGGTAGTGAAAAGGGACAGGGCACTTAGGTGGTTATCAAAGAGACATGTCACCTCTGATGGCAGGGACCCTCAAGGTGGGAACCCACCAGCAAACYCAGCTGGAACACCATAAGAAGCTGCCCCAGCAAGAGTCACAGGCAGTGTCCTGCCATGGGCTTTGGATGTTACTTCAACCTTACAACATTGGTTCTGCTGTAAGACAAGTTTGCATGGAAAAAAACCCACGATTAATTAGCGGTTTCCCACAAAGTGTTTTCATCAAAGGCAGCAAAATAATATCTGGTGCCTCAGTGTTAAGTGAATYCATTGAAGTTAATTGAGCAATGAGTAAATCAGCTTAATGCTCTCTCCCTGATGTGTCTGGCATTCGTGGTACCATGGTATTCATGGCACCATGTAATYTTTGAGTTGGTGGTTTTGGTCTGCATCCAGGCTGCTGCCCTACTTGCCTGGGTTAGTGCCTCAGCATCCTGGTCCTCAAGGAAGCCCCTCCTACTGCATTCATGGGCAAACTGTCCCCTTTCCTTCTGCTCCATGAGAACTACTAGATGTTTACAACTTCAGAACAGGTTATTGGCTTTGCAGATTCCTTTAGTTAATCCTTCCCTGAGGGCAAAGAAACATGGAGTTTTGATGCTAGGAACACATTTGGTTGCCTCCTCTGGGATACAACYAATTTTTGTGCTTTTTCTCTGATTTCTCCGACAGATGGTGTGAGCCTCAAAATGATTGAAGACCTGAAGGCCATGATTGACAACATCTCTCAGGAGGTTGCTCTACTGAAGGAAAAACAAGCACTCCAGACAGGTAAAGGGCTTGCTGAAGAGCACATGACTTTTGCTTTGAGAGAGGAGCTGCTCATAAAAAAGCAGCTGCAATTGCTCCACATGTCTCGATGAGAGATGCCCAARCACCCCACAGCAACAAGCCCATCATGAGGAGAGAGTTTGGGGGATCAAAGCAGAGTGTTGGGTCTCTGCAATTCCTCCAGGCTGGTGAACCTCCTCAGGCAGTCAATGACAGGATCTGTGCTGTGTGGGGCCCCCTCTTTATGTGCTTCCCATTTGTACAGCTGTGGATATTCCTATGGTGCTAAGCCAGATGTTCATTTTCCTTTTTGAGGTGGAGGGATGGCATTTGGATTAGTCTGTGTTTTAACCAAATGCTGCTTACTCTTTTGTCTGAACCCCAATGAAATGGCAGCCTGGTCCCTTATGGACACTGTGGTATTGMCCAGGGAGCTGCATTGCAGGACTGTCCCAAAATGTCCAGGCTTGCTCCATGGTTATTCTGTGCAAACTCCACCGACATTAATAGGAGCAGGATTTGCAAAATGCAAAGCAGAAATGAGATGAAAATGAAAATTAAGGAGAATTTTCTCCTTAAAAGAAAAGGAGCACAAGCAAAATCAAGGCTTTAGTTCCAAGCTCAMATTCATTGAGAAGTAATTGGTTTGGATATTAATGTATGGCTCTGATTAGGTATTGTTTGGGTACAGTACCCTGCACTCTCAAGGTTTAGAGCTTAAAGAAAAACAAAATAAATTTATATCCTTAACACTAAAATCAGAGGCAAGTAGAAATTTTCTCTGAAGACCTCAAGCTATGCGAGCACAACGCTTCTGATCAAAGCTTATTAAAACGACTTTTTTTTCTTCTTGCATAATTAAGATGATTTAATTGGCATGGAGGCTTTTTCCCAAAACACTCCAGCACTCAACATGAGTGCCCATGACAAACCTTATTTCCAACAAACTCATCAGAGAAGAAGTAGCATTGGCTGGGGAAGAACAAGGCCAGGGAGGGGGCAGGAGGACCATGCAGTGCCTCTGCTCCAGCAGCTGCAAATCCCAGATGGGTGACAGGGGCTTCCCAAAAATCCATTTCACCTGATGGTTTGCAGAGGGGGAGGGCATGTCCCTATGGCTGTGTCCCACCCTATGTAGGAGAGAGAGTAGCCCTGAAATGCCATCCTGCCGAGGGTCACTGTGCAGCCTAAGGAATTAAGTCTGTAATTTGGCTGCTGGGTTTGCTACTGCTGCCTCTCCCTGGACACAATTTTTAAACCAAGTTCTCTGTCTTTGTTTTTATTCTGTTCATGTGGTAACCACTCAGTTTGCCTGAAAGGCACCAAAATTCACCTRAAATGCTTTCTGGCATTTTCGGAGACCAAGACATACCACGAGGCCAGCGAAAACTGCATCTCTCAGGGCGGCACACTCAGCACCCCCCAGAACGGGGAGGAGAACGATGCCCTCTACGACTACATGCGCAAGAGCATCGGCTCRGAGGCCGAGATCTGGCTGGGCCTCAATGACATGGCCACAGAGGGCAAGTGGGTCGACATGACGGGCAGCYCCCTCCGCTACAAGAACTGGGAGACTGAAATCACCRCCCAGCCCGACGGCGGCAAGCTGGAAAACTGCGCGGCTTTGTCTGGGGCCGCCATTGGCAAGTGGTTCGACAAGAGGTGCCGAGAACAGCTGCCCTACGTGTGCCAGTTCATGATCGTGTAGTGCCGAGGCCTCATCCAGCCCGGCCCAGCACGGATATTCCATTTGGGCAGCAGGATCGTGCAGCTGGAGCTGTGTGCACCTCCACGTATGTCCATGCACCCGCGTGTTCCGCTAGGGCCACCCTCGGCAAAGAGAGTTGTCACGGCTCGGTGTCGGGCTGTAGAGCACTAGAGCATTTCCTTTGGCCGCTTCCAGCCCTGTTTGCAGCTGCACTGCTCTTTCTAAGGCATGATTTATAGATAGATTTTTTTTACACAGGGAATTTATTAGGATGYTCAGTTGTTTTGGCGAAGAACCAGCGCAGCAGTCCAGCCTGGCATAGAGCTGCCTCGGCTGCCCGGGGCTGTCACTCTGCAATGTTCTTTCCCATTTTGCTGAGCTTTGTTGGGACACCAGCACAGCCAGTTTCTGCTTWCTTCCCTTGTGCTTCCCCATAAGCCCTGGCAACAATCTGTGGGAGCTCCTTGTTCCTCACAGTGTCCCAATTCAGCCTCCTGAGGATCCAGRTGCTGTCCCAATGAGCAGGGGGAGTTACTCCAGCTTTGCATTGAGACATACAATTGGGCTCATTTGGCAGGGTCCCAGCTGCTCAAGGGATTGTCCAACTGGTCRAGTTACATTCATAAATGAATCAGCAAGTTACAGGCAGGTTTGGTCCTTTTCTCACCAGCCAGAAGCCAGTTTCACTGACTTCAGTGGGAGAGCAAGACCCACTGCCAGATCCTTTGAAAAAAAAACTCATCAGAAGCCTTATTTGTGCTGCACTATCAAGGGAAAGCAATGATTACTCAGAACATAGTTAGTCAAATATATTATTGGAAATAGAAGACATATGTATTACATAAATAACATAAATGTAGCACTATTATTTTATATATTGCTATATAAAAACTCTGTATTGAAAACAAGTCCCAGGACAGCTCACTCCAGCAGCTTTAGGAATGACCTGACCAGTTTATATGACAGGAACCCAGATGAACTTGGTCTTTGCCGGTACTGGTATAGTCCTTGGCAAAGGTAAATCTGCTGAGCGCTGTTTGTGCCAATACAGTCATGCTCAGCTGAAGGTCTGGTCTCAGTGATTTTTTACTGAGAAAATATCTAAAGTTAAATAAATAAATAAATAAATAAATAGCAGAGATGAGGAAGACGTGCAAGTCACCTTGGCAGCTTAACAAAGCTTTGCTGGCTGTTGGCTAAAAGGTATCAGTGGTTGTTTGCAGACCAGTGCTTGCTGATAACCCCTCCAGAATGGATCCCATTCCCTGCACTTCCAGGTTGGAGATGTCAAGACATGATCCTGCCMATGAGACAGTTATTCTGATTTGCTGCTTTGCTTAAAAGCAGCATAGTGGTAGGTCTTCCAAGACATCAAGTCTGAGCCAAGCTGGAAACACAAACACTCACGCGCAAATSCAGAGTGCACGCTTCTGAGGTTGTCACTATTGCCAAACGCTCCGCTGTTCAAATGACTATAAAATAAAAATATCCACAAAGCTTGCTGAAGGAACAGAATTGTGATTGGAGTGCTTTTGTCTCCTTGTCTTTCTCTTCAGAGCAGCTCCAGGGATCTCTCTGAAGGTTGGAGATAACAAAGGCAGAGGGGAAAAGCAGGAAGTGAGAACCTCCCACCCTTGTAATACACTTTATAGGATTCTCCCCCTTCTGCCCTGTTATCATACCAGTCACATGCCATACACAGGATACAGGCAGGGAATCCTTTTATAGGAAAATAAGATTTCCTTCTTTCTGTCCCCTTGCTGCTGGGAAATTTCATTCTGAAATACAAGCTAACCCAGAAGGAAGGTCCCTTCCTCAGCCTTGTTTGGCAGCAGTAGTGGTGTTGGGGGTGGTGGCACCTCAGGTCCCAGCRTGGAGCCAGTCCTTCCCAGGCTGCCTCCCACCTCCTCCACAATGAGCAGAGCTGCAGTGGTGCCAAGAATCCCTCTCCTTCACCCACTGAGGTGGCGACGGCTTCTCCYTCCTCCTCCTCTCCAGCCTCCCATGTAGGAGAGAAGACCATCCATGTAGAAGACAGTGCCTCACACCAGTCCATGAAGTTTCAGCTGCTGCAGGACTGCATGTGAAATTAGGTCTCTGTTTAAGATTTACTTTGGACCCTGCTCCTTTTCCAAGGCTCTTTGCTGTAGGTCATGGTTACACCCTTCAAGCCAGTTTGTGTCAATACAAATCCTCTAGTTCCTTTGGCAGATGTTCCCTCCGTGTTTKGAGATACACATGAAGGCAAAGCAGCAATGCTKSMAGCATTGCTGCCTTTAATCCTGGCTGGTCATAAACCACAAGGTCTTGAAACACAAATGTGTGGTCAGAGAAATAAACAGAGGGCTTTTATRGGAGCCCAGGAATGAAAGAGGAGGGTTGTGAAAGCCATGGAGCATGGCAGCGCTGAGCTTCGGGGAAATTGTGGGTGCTGAAGCTGGACCATCTTTGTGTGGAGTGTGAATCTGAAAAACAGCCATGGAGATGGATGCCAAAGGATATTCCCAGAGAAGACATGAAGGAGTCAGTCTGTCAAATGTAAAAAATAACAAGTCGCTCTCAGCAGATTTYGCTCGTCTCTCTCTTGCTCTATTTTCACGTGGCTAAGCTCCTGCCAGCACCATTCCTCATAGATGTTTTGCTCTTCTGAAGCTGGGAGGAGCACAGGGAAGGGTGSTTTTGCTCTTGCTCTACTTGTTGGATCCCGGATCACAAAACTGACCTTGTCGTTTCAGTGCTACATTTATAAGTTTAATACTATTTTTACAATCTTCTTCTTTACTGTACATTATGAACTACAAATTTTCTTTGAAAAGCCAAAGAAAAAGATTTTTCTAGAAGATTCCTCACCCTTGYTTACCACAGCAATGTTGGGGGCTTTTTGTTCTGGTTTTTTTTTGTGTCCAGCCCTGTGTTTTGTGGTCACAGTAAATGCCAGGCTGGAGGGGTTGAATGGGGGACACTGGCTGCCTCCATAGGGAAACTCTCCTGAGCACATGTAGTCCATCTGCTGGGGACCAAGAGAAGCATCACTTTTTAAATCTTCCATTAAATCCTTTGGCACTCAAGCCAGAGTGGAACATCTGCTGTCCAAAAGTGTGGTCTCAGCCAAAGGAGTRCAGACAAATAGAAAGAAACCTCAGCTCTGCCCCCAGGAGAAAGGAAATGTGAAAGTGATCACATCTGAACCAACGTATTGTCATGCCTGCCATCCCTAAGGAACCTCATGTTATGATAAATAGGAGGTGTTGTGTAAGGCCTCCTGCCAGTGATGGTACTGCTCAGCTGCTTGTGGCTCTGTGACATATCAGAGGAAAGATGAAGCATGAAATGTGCATGTGTTTACATAAACGAAAGAATAAAACATACTGGGTGTGCCTGCAGGAGTTCCCCCAGCACTGCACCATCCACTACTGACTCGAACAGAACAGCACTAACTCACCCCACTGATTGCCCCCACCACAATTCACCCTGGTCCAGAAGTTCAGACCCTGTTCCAGGTCTTTGCCTGAAGGTCCAGGAAAAGGACCAAATGGTTCAGAGTGAAATGATTAAGCATAAAACAGGAATACCTTTCTGAAGTCTCCCTCTGCACAAAGGCCAGAACAGCACAATGTTCACACACATCAACAGCCAGGTTGCTTTTGGCTCCARTCAGTGAAAGGGCTTTTAAGCAAAGGTGGGTAAAAATTTGGGAGTTGTGAGCCAAAAGCTGGCTTTGAGCCTTGAACACTTTCTGGATTTGGTCCTTAACAGTCCTAACAAGAAACCAACGCAGTGCCTCTGCTCCTTGTGCCCGTCTGTTCAGCCTGGGCATAGCTCACAGCAGAGGTTCTCTCCATGTCAGGTGCACCCTTTCCCCGTCATCCTTTGTAAGGAGCAGCCCCCAACATCTCTGCTCTGCCTGACACAGGAGGAACATTCTTCCCATCTCTGTGGGAGACCATTGGTAGAATGAGCCTCAAAAAGGAAAGGGCCTCCTCACMCCTGAACCACTGAGTCTTGTGATTCCTGTAGGCTTTGCTGTTTGCTCCCACTCCTCTGTAACCACTGAACCCTGCTGTCACTCTCTCCTTTTTCAAATAAAATAAAAAGTTAGATTCAAGTTATGTTTCTCCATCTCAGAAGCCACTGTAGTCAGGGAAGAAGCACAGATCTGTGAGACTCAGCAAACAAGGGTAAGCCAAAACMCCCCTGGGAGTATAAATATAAACCAGCTGGGGGTCACTAAACTAATGGAGAGCATAAAAATAAACTCCTTGGGGACAGAAGATGGAGAGGATATCAGGCTATGGTGTACAAAACAAAAAAACCCCGATGCTTTATTGCTTTTATATATAGAAGCCCTCAGAGGGAGTCCAGAGGTAACAGTTGGGGACTGTTCCAAATACAGCTGAAAACAAATCACAACAATTTTAGCCTCACACCCAGCAGCCTCTCCACTCTGTCCTGTGCTACCCAGACCRATCTGTGGCTGCATCACTCGCTGTGACCCCCCTGTCCTGCTCTACTGAAGGGGTCATCYGTGCTGGCAGCAGCCACAGGGCACCCCCATGCCTGCAGCCTCCCTCCAGAAAGGAAAGAAAAGCCCAAGATGCTGCCAAGAGATGGGACCAGCTGCTGATGGMAGAACATGGCTGCTCCCACCTCAGCCCCATTGGAAAGCTGACCCTGAGCCTGAGGCAGAGAACACAACAAGCAAGCTGCCARCCTGGCAATGAAGGACACATCTCAAGAAGCTGTGTTTAGAGAACACTGCTTGGGAAGCATTGCAGCATGTAAAAGAAAATGCAGGAAGGGAAATAAAACCTACAACCCCTACTGCTTTGAAGAAATGCCCCAGGGCCAGCCTGRTTTCCCACTAGAGTGACAGTAACTTCTATTTCTATTCCAAAAGTGAGGTCTCTGACATCCAATAGTTTTCCCTGTTTCCGTGGTTGTCACGACCAGTGAGGTCAGCTCTGGAGTGCCAGGTCTAGTTTTGGGCTGTCCACTCACATGGACCTAGTGAAGTGGGTGCAGGAAGCAGAAGGGATTTGGGGATCTGTTGTGTGAGGAGAGAGCGAGAGCTGAGRCTGCCCAGCCTGGAGAAGAGAAGGCTCAGGGGATCTTATCTTAAATGCCTGAAGGGGGAGAGTGGTGAAGGCAGAGCCATGGGSACAGCCTGAAATACAAGAAATTCTGCTTAAAGAGAAGAGAGCCTTTTTTTCTCTGTGAGGGTGGTCAGATCCTGGCATAGGTTGCTGAGAGAGGCTGTGGAGCCTCTACCCTTGGAGATACTCATGATCTGAGTGGACATGGCCCTGGGCAATGGGGCCTTGCTCTGAGCAGGAGCTGTAACCAGGCCATCTCCAGAGRTCCCTGTCAGCTCTTCTGCACAAACACAGCTACTGAGCATGGGATCCTACCTACATAACTTATTCCTCTTCTAGTCACAGGAGAAAAACAGACATTTCAGGAGCAGACAGATAACCTCAGACACCTGATGGATGAGCTGTCATGTAAAAGCCTTCCTACAGAACAAGGTTAGCAAGAAAGCCAATGAAATAATATTTTGTGGGATGTGATTTCTACACCGTGGTGCTGCCAGAGCTCTAGATACTAACTAGGTCTTGCTGCTCTGCCAAGTGGGATCAGAAGACAAGAGCTGAAACTTCATATAGTTATTCAACCAAAAGGAAACTGGAAAACTTCACTAAATAGCAAATGAAATGTATTTTTTAATATTAAATGCTCWGTCCAAATACACAGTTCAGGGGTGCACAGATGCAGATGTGAGTCAGCCCAACCACAGTGATAGATTTGCTTTACTGTTGAAGCAGGAAGTCCAAAGGCAGCCTGGATTTCATCTGGATTCATGTG